TCCTATAGCAAAATGCTTTTGTAGATATATATTAAAGACACTTGGAGCTTTGCTCAGGTCACAGGCTTATTGCTTTGGGGACAGGAAGGGTAAAGACACAGATAGGTTGCAGTCTGCTGCTTCACTTGGTCACTGAGAAAGGGAAAGAAAATATCCGGGTAACTGCTGCCACATGTTCATTTTGTAAGTCATCTCTTTGGATACGGTTTCACGTTACCCTGGGCCTGTAAATTTCTGCAAAGGGAGAGAAAGAAAAAGCTCTTGGCAAAATAAGCTCAGCCCAAGTCCCTGAAGCCCCTTTAACAGAGGTCTGTGAGCAGCAAAGTAAGGAAAATGCAGCCTCTGAATGCAACCTTCGGCTCAGGCGAAAGTGCTCTGGGAGAAATAACAAGCCCTGGCACAGCCCCAAATGAACCATTACGTCTCTGTGAGCCATTGTTTCCCTTATTGGTGGACCAGCTCTCATTCACAAAAAGCTGCTTTTGCAAGGCAAGAAGGAAAAAAAACAAAAAACACCACATTTGAAATCACAGAAGTAAGGCCCTGTGTGGTTAGGGCACCATGGCAGCATTGTGAGAACCCAGCTGTTATTCACCTTGCACAGCTGCATAGTGTCAAAACATCTTCATGGACAAGTCTGCTTGCTTCAGTCCCTTACATCTGTAAACGTTGCTGTGGAGTTTTCTCTTTCTCTACAGGGCTAGTATTCGGGGCAGCATCGCAGTGAAAGGACCTTCAGCAGTTTCTTTTACCTTCCTCCCCACTGAACACACAGATAAGGCATTGCTCAAAGGCTTAAATGAAGGCGAAAGAGGCTGAAGTCTGATCTGGTTCATCCCTCAGTTGGCCGAGTGAATAGAGCACTGGCCACCCATCTTGAGATAGGGTGCCGGGGCTCAATTTTGTTGTGCACTTGGTGACACCTTGAGGCATTGGAGTTGCCCTTTGGCACCCAGTTAAGGCATGTGAGAGCCTATGCAATGAAAGAAGAGCAAGCAGAGGCCACGTTAGCACCTCTAAAATGGCATCTGCATGTGGACAAGAGACTTGAGATCCTCCTGGGTAGACAACCCAACTGTACTGACTGGATGTGTGGCTCTCACCCACCTCAGGATACCTTGGATGTTTGTGTCCTCAAAGCACAGAGCCATGCTCCTGCAACCTCCAAGCACTACCTTTGCTTCCAGCACTGGGAATGGCAGGGAATATTTTCTTCCACCCTAGAAAACTCTTCAGATTTGTGCCAAGCTCAAAGTGAGGAGCAGCCAAGTCTGCACTGCAGGGCCTGGGGAGCTGCTGTTCAGCTTTAAAGAAGAAAATATCCCACAGGCTGCAACCACCCAGCACAGGACCTGTGGGACCCCATCGCCATAGAGGGTTTGAGAGCCTACAGTCTTCCTAGCCCCCACATCAAGCACAGATGTCCAAAACTATGGTCCTAAACCTCTCCTCCACCATCTAAACTGGCATCTGAAGTCCCCAGTGTATCTAGAGAGTTGGGTTTTTTTTCAATCTTTTTCACTGGGAGTCTATATATACCAGCTCAAGCCTAAAAGTACCTGTGTTTTCACATCTGGTCTGCTCACCAAATCCATCTCACCACTGCACCTTGCTGAGATCAGTGGCATTTCAGCACAGGAGGCCCCTCAGCACAACCAGCCCTACATAAGATCAACCAAAGGATGAAGGCCTGCTTATTTGAACTTTTTTATCCAATAGCTCAGAAATTCACTCAAAATAAGGGTAGGACTCTTTTTTCTCATTGCAAATCTCCCAGTTAAATCCCTCCTGCACACAGGGAAATTCAAAGCCACATAATCTGATTCACAGTTACCAAACTAAAATATCCATTGATGAGAGCCTCGTATTCACCTCTGTAGAAGTTTCAGTTTCCAGTTTCCACTAGGAATCCCTGTATACACAGGCCACATTATTGTGCCCTGGGTACATAGCCAGGGTCATGGAAGAAATGCCATGGCAGTCCCCATCCTAATGAACATTAAGATATTTTAAAAAAATCAGACCCTGAATATATTCCTTCAGAGTTAGCAGAGCAAGGACTGCAACGCGGGTTTGCAGCAAGAGCTTCCTATCTGTGAAGTGTGGCAGGGAAGAAGATCCCAAATCTCTGCCATCCTTGGGTGTTATCACCATCCACCCATCAAGGACTGCCTAGGATTTTCATTCAGATTGAGAGCTCTGAATACATGGTTTTTAAGTCCTTTCAGCCAAGCGTATTGGGTAGTAGACTTCATTCATCAGACAACTCTGAAGGCCCTAGCTAGGATATGCCATAATTCCCTTTTAATCCAACACCTTCATAATCATAAGATCTCCCTGAACAACCCTTGACACCCTCCAAAAGCTGTGAAAGACTGTAAAAATCCTGGCCAGGTAAATGAAGAGTTAATATTTCTGCTACCTGGGAGGTTATCACTTAAATGGGACTCCTGCCCAGGAATGGTGGCTTATGGGCACAGCTCCACTGTGATGGTTCCTTCAGAACTGATTGGTCTGCCTTCTTCAGTTCAGGAGGTCCATTTGTAGTAAAAATCTATAAATAGTCTAATAGGTTGGGAGAAGAAATGAATAAGGGCCACTGCTGGGTCTTTTAATGTATAGACAAACACACGTTCACTTTATCTGTCATGTAAACCTCAACTGTTCAAGTTTATCATTCACTGCCAAAAATGCTATTACAGCAGCTTGAGATTTCAAAGACAGTATTATTCCTGTTTCTCACTGACCTTTGGATGGATTTTTAAACTTGGAAAAATTAAAAAAAATTTTATGTGTCCTGAAATGGAGCTTAGAAGGTTTAACACATTTCCAAGTATAGACATGGTGATTTACGAGGACCTCTTTTTCTGGTTTTTATAAGACTCTGTCTCTCTTCAACCATGAACAGTGTATTGGTTCTGACAAGGACACTGGGAATGTTTGAGAATTCAGCATTATTTATGACGGAGACTGTGTGATCCAATGGCCAAGAAACTGGACTTACTACTTAGCTCTGCCATGCATGTGATGAACAACCTAAGAGCTTTCCCTTCTGTGTCTCTTTTTCTCTGTGGTGATGGTACACTGGGGTCAAAAACTATTTTTTTACTACTGGTTTTCAAATAAACCAGTACAGCCCAGTCATTCTGGTGGTACCAGATGATACTTCCCTCAATAAACCCTGCTCCCTGCAAGGTTTTATTCCTACAGTTTCCAAAGGTCAACCCACCCAATCCCAACAATGTCACCAGGTGGCTGGGGCTGTTTATCAGTGCTGGTGCCTGGATTCATACACATTAACCTCAATGCTTAGTCCTAAGAGTTTACAATGAATGGTGTGCATCAAGGTATACAGATGGTCTGGATGACAGACCAGTTGTGTTAAGAGCTGGACAAATGCATCATACAAAGGTGATCCATGACCCAGAGAGATCCCAGGTTTAACTGTGGTTTAAATTGCAGGTTTTATGGTTTATTTGCAACAGCACTGGGGCAAGCTCCATATTCACCCTTATATAAGGCTCTAAGATCCATGTGCTCAAGCGTTCACATCACACTACCCAGGCGAATGAGTATTCACAAGCCTAATAGAAAACCATCAGCATTTAGAGCATGAAAGCCTTTCATTGGAATTCCTGAAAGTTGTTTGGCCACACAAAGAAATCTGGCTTTTCTCCCAGCCAGAAAGAAGCCCTAAACATAGGTGTGATTAATCTGCTGTGAATAATTCAGTGTTAACGACTGCACTTGCAGGTTCCACTTTCTGGCAGCATTTTACATGCCTCGAAAACATGTCCATGCACACATTCACTGCACAGTGGGTGCACAGGGCTGGGGGATGGACGTGCACACCATGCCGCAAGAATTCCAGATTAAAATCTGAGCCTTAACCTGACAGAACAGGATCTCCACAAGGGACAAGTACTCTCCAACCTCACAAGTGTCTAGGGAGCGGTGAGTTATTCAGGTCCTTGAAGCTGAATACGATATGCTGTGACTTATAGGCCTCTAAGAGGCTGATCTGTATGCATAGGCCAAGTGCCGGGTCCCGCACTTGGGTCACAACAACCCCATGCAGCACTGCAGGCTTGGGGACGAGTGGCTGGAGAGGAGTCTGGAGGAGAAGGACCTGGGGGTGTTGGTGGACAGTGACTGAACATGAGCCAGCAATGTGCCCAGGTGGCCAAGAAGGCCAACACCATCCTGGCTTGTATCAGCAATAGTGTGGCCAGCAGGAGCAGGGAAGTGATTGTGCCCCTGTACTCAGCACTGGTGAGGCTGCTCCTCAAATTCTGTGTTCAGTTTTGGGCCCCTCACTCCAAGAAGGACATTGAGGGGCTGGAGCGTGTCCAGAGAAGGGCAACAAAGCTGGGGAAGGGTCTGGAGAAAAAGAATGATGAGGAGTGGCTGAAGCAACTGAGATTGTTCAGTCTGAAGAAAAGGAGACTGAGGGGAGTCCTTATTGCTCTCTACAACTACGTGAAAGGGGTGGATCAATGGTTGGACTCAATGATCTCAAAGGTCTTTTCCAACCAAAACTATTCTATGATCCTATGTGGCATTGTGTCTGAACACTAGACCTCTCTCAGTCCTTCAGCATTCCCTCAGTCCCTTGAACCAGCACCCAGGTACAAACAGTTGCCAAATGCAGGGGAAGACAGGGCTCGTGTTCCCAGTCAGGGTGCTGGTACAGGTGGAAAAGTAGATCTCTGTGCAGAGGGTCAGACCTTCAACACACCCACGTTCAGGTGAGAACCTACATCTGGCATCAAAGTGGGCTTCATAAGCACTGTTTCTTTCAGCTTTAGTCCCTAAAACCTCCCACATCCCAAAAAGTCATCTCCAGCTCATCCTCACTCCTCTCCCTTCCGACCCCTCCCCTCCATCCTGGAGACATCCTTTTACCAAAATGAGCTGCAGGAGGCTAGAAAAGACACTGACGTCAACGTAAAAGTAAACCAAAGAGGTCTGGTTCCTGTATCATCACTGCACCAGGCTGAGCGCTGGGGAGTAAGCGCACGGTCGCTCAGTCGAGGAATTTGGGAGCGGGCTCAGGGATCAGAGGCTGAGCTTTCTCATTCAGGCTGTGTAAGTACCGGCTGCGGCACGCTTTGGGCTGGGAGTGAGGGGGGAGAGGGAGGGAACTTCACCAGCTGTAGCTCAGGAAGGCAGCGTGCTCCGGTCCTGGCTGGGATGCAGAGTTTGGAGGCACACAGGCAGGGATGGGAGTCCCCGCAAGCCCGGTTGAGAGCAGAGCACGTGGGTTTCGATGCGGTCTGGCTCCGTGCAGGTGGGGACAGCACTGGAGAGGAGGGTCTCCTACGGGGTAAAGAAGATTCAGTGAGTTTAGAGCTGGTGCAAAGGATGAGAACATCTCACTGAGGGAAACGTGGATGTTTCTAGATACTAAAGTGGTCAATTTGGATGACAAAGTATATTTGTGCTAGTCCATTACCTGTCAGTGAGGTGTGTTCAGGGACACACGTCTCTATGTATCAGGCTGCAAGCAGACCTGTCTGAGGGACTCTGTATAAAAAATAGGGTGTTTCTTGTATACCTCCCTATACTCACTACCTCTGCCAAGTCCAGGTACATATTTAGAAGGAATTTCTTTACTGAAAGGGTGGTCAAGCAATGGAAGGGGCTGCCCGGGAGGTGGTGGAGTCCCCACCCCTGGAGGTGTTTAAAAGACGAGTGGATGCTGTGCTTAGGGACATGGTCTAGTGGTGAACTTAGGGCTAGTTTGATGGTTGAACTCGATGATCTTAAAAGTCTTTTCCCGACAAAACCATTCTATTATTCTATATACACATACACATCCTGCAATTGTCCCTGTATAGAGATGCAGGGCTAGACACAAAGCTTTTAGTCTCAGGCCATGAAAAAGTGGTCTCAGAGGGCTCAAAATGAACTTTATAATAGAGGATTCGGAAAGAGAAAATTTTCCCCAGGGAAACAGCATGGAAATATCCTTACTTCGGGTGCTGTATGGATGAGGGAAGCAGCCAGGGCAGAGCTGGGGTCGGTGAGAGGGATGAATGGCCCTACCAGCTCCATTGGCAAGTCTCTGCCAGCTGCGAATTGTCTGGTCACAGTACATCATATAGCAAGCATGTCCCGTTGCTTACACAAACTATACTCGGTGATGACTTGTCAATGAGGCTCTTCAGACTCATTTCAGCTGTGTTTCAGTAACATGAGGAGCCTTTTCTTCTGGCATTTCTACCATGCCAGGGCAAATTTCTCTTCTTCAGCAAAAAGCCAGCCCTTTTTTTCTGAAATGGCAGCTCCTTCAGCAAAGCTAAAACTCCCCCATTCAGAAAGAAAAGAGAGCAGGCATACAAATTTAATCCCTATTATATGCGCGTGACAGTCCCAACCGAAAACCACCAGGGCAAATGCCTCTGTCACCCATGATTAGATGCAATGCTGCATCTCAGCTCACTCTGTAAATCCCTCCCTGAGTGGAGGAAAGCTGGGCAGCCACAAAAAAAAGTAGGCAGCAATGCCCACCATCTTCCTGTAGCATCCATCTACCTAGAGGGCAGAGATAAAACACACACAGGGAGTCATTTCTTCCCTCTCTGCAGAGCATTAAGGTGCCAAAAGCACCCTACAAGTCTTCCTTCCCCCGTTTTGAAGGAGGAGGCAAAGGCCAAGGAAGGAATTGTACATGAAACATCTCTCAGAGCACGTTCTCTTGGAGGCATAGCAATGGGGGAGGCTGCTGAACAGAGCAATAAATCCCACTGCGCGCACGTACAACACTGCTGCAGCTCCGCTCCCCTGTACACGCACTGTGCCCTGGGGATGACGTGGTTCCTGCAGAGATGTGGGCTGACCTGCCCTTATGTCCCCATTTGGGGTGGGAAAACTGAACCCTGCACTCCACCTTGTCAGAAGGTCTGTGGGATTTTGGCTGTCCACATTCTAACAGGCTGGAGGCACGTAAAGGGGGATGTTTAGCAGGCAGGTGCTCAGCACATTTGGGGAAACCTCACACTTTAAGGAGATGTGAATGCTGATATAGGAAAATTGAGACATCCAAATTCTCGACCCCTTTGTAAAGCGAGAGCCAAAAATCCCCCATGGGAGTAATGCTTTAACAAGCACACAAAGCACACATTGTTTGGACTTTCCTTTACATCATGGACTGTTATAGCAAGTTTTAATTAATGCCCAGTTGCTAGGTTTAGGGAGAGGTGAGACAGTGTGTTACCAAAATGCGCACATTAGCAAATCTTCTGTAACAACTAAAGTAAAGTCTATAGCCTTTACTGAATGGAGGAGGAATGTCCACTACTTCTTAGCAAAACCCTCTGTAAATATTGTAAGGACCTCGTCATGCCTTCTTGATCTCTCTTTTACCTCTCCTCCAGTTTTCCTACTTGCATTTTCATTTGTAGCTTTTAGCTGTAGGTTTTGCTCCTGCTCAAAACTGATTGAGGACACCTGAGCAAATCCTATTCACGGCTTAGCAGAACAACATTTCCTATGCAGTAAATCCTAGACAGATACAGCAGTCCAGCTGAGCATGACAAAATCCAGAGGCAGGAGTAGTTGTGCTGAAGTGAGGGGTGAATCAGGGGAATAAAAAAGTGAAGCTCAAAGCCAGAGCACAGTAAAGCTGTGTGGGTCAGATGGGACCAGGGTGAGCCGGCTGTGATACCCAAAAAAATGGTGTCACCCCATCACCCAGGATGACACTAAGCAGGGATGCTGCTGTTCAATCTCAGTGTGACATTTACTGGGATCAATACACCATTAGTGTATAGACACAGAGAGACTGAATTCTTCATTACCTCTTATGCATAATCCATAAAAGATGTGTATCTCATCTATCACAGCCTGAAAAGCACCACTACAGCCATTAAAGATTTACTGTCAAATGTCCCCTCCTCTTCATGGCTCCAGCCATCTTCTCTACAAATGCCTGCCAAAAAAATGGGGCTCTGGGAAATGCCCCTAAGGCTAACAAATGTGGGATGTGGATCCCAGTGTGGTGGTGCAGTACACAGATTCCCATCCTTATAGAGTCATAAAATCACAGAGTGGTTTAGGTTGGAAAGGACCTTAAAGCTCACCCAGTCCAACCCCTGCCATGGGCAGGGACACCTCCACCAGCCCAGGCTGCTCAAAGCCCTGTCCTTGCACGGACTCAGGTTGTCAGCCCTTTCTGTGGGACACCTGGAGAGATGGACTTGAGTCTTTTTAGGGAGCTGCCCCATAGTGAAGCTATCACAAGCAGGCTTCAGCCTCATGGATGCAGTTGGGGATACTGTGCAGGCTTGCCAAAATTCTGGTTCATCCAGAGCTACAAACAACTGCAAAGACCTACATCAGAATAGCCTATTTGTCACAGGTAAGAGGAAATGGCACTGAGCTCTGAGCATGTGGACTCACACAGAGTCCAGCAGGTGTTGGTAACCCACCAGGGTCCTCTCAGAGTGACAAACCCAGAAGTAGTAAAGTGGGTAACCATAAGGACGTAGTAAAGTGGGTACCTGGGCACAGCAGGAGAGGACACCAAGGCAGGCTCAGCTTCTTGTATAACATGAAAAAGGCATTTCTAGCATTCAGGTGCAGAGAACAGGAGATTGCTGGTGGGACATTTAGCTGGGTGCAATTTCATCCTCACCTCTTCAGCATGGAGAGGGGAAAGCTGGGTTGTAAGCCAGGTTTTACCTGCTTGGCACTCACAGAGTCGCAGTTCTCCAGCAGCCAGGCTGGCTCCTTTTGCTCCGGTTGAATATGCCAAGCAATGCATCTCTGAGAAAAATCCAGACTGCCAAGCTGTGTTACACTGTCTCCAGCTACCAATTATGTGGGTAAACCTATTGCCATTAGAGTGAAGAAGCAAATAAATTTATGGGAACAAGGCAGCCCATTTTTCATGAACCAGCCTCAAGACTTCCTGCTGCTTTGATCAAAAGCACAGAAAACTGTCTCCAGGCTGCACTGGTGTTAGAGAGACAAACCTGTGAGGGCTGGAGCAAGCCAGTGAGAGACAGAGATTTATAATATACCAATAACTCTACATTTGTGCACTGTTGTGCAAAGCAGGTTGAGCAGACACTTACTGCATGGGTCCAGGGCCGAGCCATGGAGCAGGGTTGCACAGAAAAGGGTTTCATGGACTAGGCTTGCACAGACTAGGGTTGCATAAGTTGCAGCCCAGGGACACATGCTACCCTCAAGCTACCCCTTCTGCAACCACCCTCAAAGAGGTTTGGCAATGTTGGGACGAGGCATTTCCCACCCCTGTCTCAGCCATGTGGATTCAGGTCAGCAGCAAGAAGAGGAACGGTTGTCACATCCCACTGTTGCGTGAAGCCACCATGAGGTTTACTCCAACCGGCGGCCGCCTCGGAGGATGCCCAGGACTGAAATAGCACAGGGCAGATGTCAGAAATCAGAGTCACTGGAGGGAAAGGAAGGGGAGTCGTGCTGCCTCTGACCCCTGCCCAGATTAGGTCTGCCTCATACCAGGGCTGTTCAACTCCCACTCACAACCATATCAAGTTCACCCAGAGAATCAGACCTACTAAGACATGAGCAGTAATAAATCCCAACAGTGTGATTCCTCATGAGCAGCTTACCTAAGAAAGCACATTATTATTTTAAACGTGCTGATTTATTAAAAATACACTCAGGTTCAAGCCACTCATTCTTGCCCAAGGGAGCTCAGCAGTGGAGCTCAGCATCTCAACTCGCAGTATTGGGACTGATATATGACTAGCTGTGATCAGATGGCATATCTAAAAATACAGAGCCTGCGGTTTATTTTTCTTGGAAAATGGAAAGACACCCAAAGAAGCAGAGCCCAGTTTAGTAACCACAGCAGGCTGGATTTTTGCTTTAAAGAGGCCAGCAGAATTTGCCCCAAAGAAGGTGCCACTTAGGTTGTGCTGCAGCCATGGGATTAACTGGCGGCTCCTACAGCGTGGGGGAAACCTCTGGTTGCCCAGGCTGCTGCCATGGCTCTAGCTCTGTATTACAGAGGGCAGGGGAGCTGATTGCACATCCCTGACCTAGAAAACACAAAGAATAGGATTGCTTTCACCCAAAGGAGGTGTCTGGGCTGGTCA